ATTAACAACTGAAAATGGAACTAATAGTACTTACTCTTGTTCTGGCCTCTTCTGTGTCAGAGTCTTCAATAACAATTTTCTTCTTGAACAGAAATTGCTCTGGTTCATCTTCCACATCTGCAAGGTCTTCRGCAGTTATTCCAAGCTCTACAGCCCTGTAAATAATATGACATATTAGATGGTATTGAAAAGCTCACCAGTTATATTTTAACTTGATGTACATACTTAAAACCTTACCTTGCTCCTCTATGCATGGCTTGCTTTCTAAGCTGTTTCTTTAACTTCAAACGCTCATCTTCAAGACGTTCAATCTGGTGTTACAACAATGATTGTTCATGAAGTAGGTATTAAATAAATGGAGTAAGAACTGACCGAGAAAAGAAGGAATGATAGTGTAGGACTGAAAGGGAGGAGGAAGATGGGATGAATGAAAGAAAGTGAAGAAGAGAGGAAGAATGGAATGAAGAAGGAAAAGGATGAGGAAGATAAGGAGAATGACAAGAAGGAAGGAAGTATGGAAGGGAGGAAGGGAGAAAAAAAGGAAGGGATGGGAAGATAAGAAGAATACCAAGAAGATGGAAGGAAGAAGAGTACCTCTTTCACTAAAACTCTATTCATAGCTGCTGCCTGCTCAGCTTTAACTTTCTTCTTGTGCTTGATTTCTTCAATGTCAAGTTTATCTTTTGGATCAAGTCCAAGTCTTTCTCTAAACTCTTCATTCTCCATCTCCAAATCATTCAGTGCGAGGCTGAGTTTATTGACTTGACCAGTTAGATACTCAACATTTCTAAACAGTAACATTGACAAGTGTAAGACTTCTTAATAAATGACTACTTTATCATTATTATGATACAGTAATTCAAAGAAATTATAATGGACATACTGGTCACGAATACGGATCTGAGCCTTGTGTTCTTTGATTTCTTGTACTGCATCACTTAGTCCATACTCTCCCTACAAAGGAAGGGGCAATAAAGATTTGTGGTAAGTTTATTTTTGATTATTATGGATAAATATTTTGATATTATTTATTATTACCTTCTCATACTGCATCATTCTTGCCATCAGATCATTCAACTGCTTGTCTTTTTGTCTGGCTGCCTCTTCAGCCTGAGTTCACAGACAAATCATTAATAGTTTATCGATAAATCTGTCTCCTATATTAARACWSRTTCCRTKGRCWGATTYAAGTTGAAAKTCTCACCTTCAACATTCTTTCCCTCTCCTGCCCAGCTAAATGCTGTTCTCTTCTTAGAGTAGAGCCAAGTTCTGCTATTTTCTTTTGTTGGAAGGCAGATGGCACACCTTATAAAATAATACACGTTTTTATTTCATTTTTTGAGGATCATGTCTTAATTGAAAATCACTTATCCATGTGGGACAATCATATAACAAGAGCATGTGCAATAACAGAATTGGATAGTCTCCTAATAAACCTTTTTCTGACTGMGCTTTGACTTCTTCAACTTGGTCTACTACGCCCTTCATGTCAGCCGTTGCCTGTGAATCAAAAAAGTGACATAATKAAACATTTTACTTTAAATAACAAGAAAGCTTGAGATTACAATGTTTCAAAGTGTCAKGGCTTCATCCCAAGSCAATATAGAATATTTGGTTTTCAATYTCAAYTTAGAAATCTMTGTCAGGAATCATGTATTAGAAAAAAAAGCTCTGGCTACATGTAGTCTATGCACTAGATATTAATTCTTAATTTGAAAAAATACCTTTTCAACTTCCTTTTTCAACATTTGTATTTGTTCTTCTTTCTCCATCAAAGCCTGAGACACARAATAGAAATAGTTAAAYGATTGATTACCAAWTGTATTRTGTGGTGATCTACACTACWAACCTGCTGCAACATGACCAATGAAGACTTGTCGGAATCCATTTCAAGACCTGTTATTCTCTGCTTTAGGTCTGCAATCATAACTTTATACTGGTTTATTTCTGCATCTTTTGTAGCCAGCACATTCTGCAATAATCAATGTAATGTCAAATTAACTCTTAATAACAGAATCATTGATCAAGCATTGATCAAACCTTCCATTCTTCTACTTTGAGATTGACTGCCATCATTATCTGATCATCAGCATCAGATTTTGAAGAAAATTGGATCCTGAGGTCTTGAATCTACAATGCAAGATGCTCATGTTAATGATGCAAAAGACTTTGTGATCCACTTTCTCATGTCAAAATTAATTTATTAGCTGAATTTTGATCTACAGGTAACGGCTGTTGAGCAAATTACCTGTGCTCTTAGCGCATCTCTTTCCCTTCTCATGTCTTCAAGGATAAGATCAGATTGCTGGAGGACAGTCTGCAAAAGACAAATCATAGTATAATTATAATGTATTGTGGAATGGAGGATAATGTATTGGTTCACCCTGGCAACATCCAATTTTTTTGGAAACCAATCGTTGTTGCCACCTTGTTTGCTGGTAAACTTTTGAATGACAGCAAATTACCCATTACAACTGCTTATCTTCTATTCATCATTGTCAGACCAGAAAAATCACAACTGACCTTCAATTTTGTGTATTCATCAGTCATTTTGTTCATCTCCATTGTAGATTCTTCAAGTTCTTTCCTGACATCTGTGAGTTGATCATTTAGAGTCTCGTTTTCTTCTTGTAACATCTGAAACGTGACAGAATTTTATCTATTGAATAGTTGACATGCATTATGACACCATTTTACTACGACTACCAGAATTAGTTTGAATTTTTGATTTATTTATAAATTATTTCTAGTTATTGTCTTTACATTTCAATTCTTGATATTCACGTGACCCACAACCCACTAATTGCTTCTAAATGTTTTCATGCTGAGGCCCTGATCACACGATATTGAAACAACTCACTGTGAATTGGAGAAGAGTGAAGTATGCCACCCTCCTATATCATAGAAGATACTTTGCATCCAAGATTATCATATAATAATAATTAGCATTATCTTTAAATAATTCATATTGTACATTTTTAAAGTTAAGATTCTTTTTTTAAGTACAAATACCTTGATCTCATCCAAGTATTCTGACAATTCCTTATTCTTCTTTGCCATTGTTGACTTCATAGCGTCTCCTTCCCTGCGCAGTGCTAAGGATTCTCTCTACAATATATGCACACATAACTCAACACATCAATCTGTTCTTACCATATAATATAAATGTATTGTTGTAACAATTATTCCAAAATTTACAGAATATGAATAATAGAATTCGCTAGATGACCAGCCAAATCGGGACCTTCCAAAAATGAATTTGTAAAAAAATTGTACTGCATATGTCTGGCCATTATTTTGAGCCCTGGAATATGAATAATAGAATCAAAGTGTAGTTCATGGTAGTACCTGTTGTTCAATCTGTCTCTGCAGATCTCTACTATCCATTCTGGATCTCTCAACCTATAAAGAACAGGCATGGTAAATTCACAACTCATCAAGCAACAAAAATGAATTATTAGGGGAGGAATGGGGAGCTTAATCAATGTCTTACCTCTCTCTTCAAGCTTCTGTTCTCTCTCTCCATTTCCTCTATCTTGGTACTAAGCTGTTAACCCAAACAATTATTGACAGATTGAATGATTGATGGCTTATCAACCATTTGATTGACAGATAGAATATCATTATTATGTTTTATTCATAATAGTTATTACAACCATTGTTATATACCTTATCAACTTTATTCTTCTCTTGAAATAATGCTTGATCTTTATCAGTGATGTCCTGCTCAAGCATCTGGAAAAAAACAGCAAAAATATTATTGCTATTTATTAAGGCACTGTCTAGACCTTCATTTGAAATGAAAGTCAGAAAGCTAAATTTAGTACTTTATTGTATTAGTTAACAATTATATTGTTCTTGGTTTTCAAAAGACATCACAAGGCAGCCATATTGGTGTACACTGTAACAGGTTAAACAAAAGAATTGGGTAAAAATTAAATAAAAATTCAATAGAACATGAAGATCAATTGTGTGCACAGGAAGCCCATAAAAGAATTCAGTTTCTAATTGAACTTCATAATTTATAAATGACTTGATAATAAATTAATACAAATAAATAAATATATTACCCTATTCTTATTGGACAGACTTTGAATTTCTCTCATGAAGTCGTCTCCTCCTGAACCAGCATGTTTCTGAAAAAAAAATTTATATGATATATTTTTAATAAATGTAATTTTGGTTAATATTGCTATATTATAGCTCAATGGTGTACAACTGACTCTTTAGGTAGAGACAGGTGGTTTATTTGGGTGAAGTGGGAAAGGAGAGAAAAATGGGAGAAGAAAAAGGAAAGAGAGCCAGTTGTAAAGAACTATATAATCCTAACAATCCTTACTCTGTATTGGTCAAGCTCCCTTTGCAATATATCAACCTCATCAAGGAAGTCTTGCTCTAAGAGAAATAAGAAACAATTTCATTGAAAACAATTGTGATAATAATTGGTTAACAAATTTTTGAATTTCACCTTTTTTCACAGATATTTCTAATTCTTCTTCCATTGCCTCCACTTGGCTCCTCTTGTACTGGCAAAATAATTATCAATCATTATACTTAATAATCACTGTAACAATAAAAGTTTTCATTAGCTTTTTGGGGCACTATCAAGGTTTGACAAAGTGGTTGTTACCATAGCAACACTCACCATAGCAAAAATCATTATTTTGTTTAACTATATGTACAAAACAAAACTTTTTGAATTTATCAACCTGTTGTCATTTATATCTTGTTAATAGATATAAGAAGTTAAGAAGGCTTCCTTGCTTAATTATTGTTGATACCAATTGGCAAATAGTGCTGATCATAATACTTACTCTCATACATGCCTGTGTTACTTCAAATAATTTCACCATCTTAGAAGGATCAGTTACTTCACTTTCATCAATGGTGGCCTTAAAAGAGTAACAACTGTTTTAGTCCTTTTTTGAATAGCATTACGCATTACATTGTGGTCTAAGATTTGGAATTAACACCATTTTTTCAAACAGTCAAATACATTATCAAATATCTTAGTAACTTAATTGATGAAATGAAATAAATGTTAGCACAGTACACATTTTTGTACAATTTTTCTTTGTGTTTTTGTGTGTTAAATATACTTTTTATCTAATTTATTTCAGGGGTTTATGAAAATTACTGCAATGCTTTCAGTGTTCTAATAAAGAAATAATAAATAAATAAACAATAATAAAGATATTTCATATAGTGGTTGGTAATTAATGGGGACTTGATTACATTTGTACAACATGTTTTTAAAAAACCTTTCAGTGAAAGACTGATACTTTTTAAACATGATATTCTAGCATTAAGAGATTAACCATGTGACAAAAACCAAGCAATTGAATACTGACAAAGAGATATTATATTCTAGCATTACATCATGATTAATTAAACAAATCTAGTAGGAAAAGATCACAGTGAGTTAACCACTGAAGAAACATCTTTGATCAAAATGATGCTAAGGGCAATCATGGGATATTTCTTTAAAAGGTATTTACTAAAAGTAGAATGATATTGCTTTAGGTAGTAAAAACAGATGTCTTTTCATTTGTTTATACAGAAGAGGAAAATATATACTGTACTATACTTTACAGACGGAAAGTATACATTTACAAATTAGATAGTTAAGCATTGACAATCATTCTGAAAGATTACTTTGAATCATTGGTCAAGCCTAATTTTTCTTTTCAAAATCATAAAAATCATGGAGTTTTAACTCAAAATCCACAAGTATACATGCATTAAAAGTGAACAGCTCATTTTATAATATTCTTCAAGATAAACATGATATATATTTGCACACAAATGACAATGTTGAAGGCTGGCAGGCTGCAAGGTTCCCTAGTATATTTACATGACAAGAAATTTTCATATGCAAAAAATCTTATAATCCGTTCTAATGCTCTTTTTGACAGCCCTTTAAATAGAGCTGTAAAGGTAGCTCTAATTGCGACAAATAAAGATGTTTATCTTTATAATTCAAACCCTTGGTGATTTCTACACCTAAATATCTGAAGTTTTTAAGTAGTATGGTGCATTGTGGTTTGTGGTATATTCTTATTTGGCCATAGCTTTGCCATGCAACAATGATACATACTTATAAATTTGATATGGCAAAAAAGCAGGGGCTATTACCAGATGCTCAAATAACAGATCTCTTTCAATAAGTATATTGGAAAGTGTTAAGCAGAGTGCTTATCAACATCATCATAATCATAATCATCATCCAAATCTTGTGAAAACAATTGGAAAAATCAAAATAAAGGATTTAATAGCCTTAGAATTCAATTCAATACACTGGTTCCAGATTAAAATATGATAGCCAAAACGCAATGCAGTAAGGTTACTTTCCATTGGTGTTGCCAAGGAGCCAAGGAGCTGTTTGCTCCACATTTCACATCTGTTTTAACGCACTTCATGTTATGAATGGAATAGAAAATTAAGCATAATTTTTAGCTAATTAGGTATGGTTTCTACAAGAATCTATAGTGCTTTGAATACAGCTTTACAGTTTATTTGGCGGTCTTTGCAACACAGGGTATCCTACACAGTTACGGCTTGTAGACCTAACAAACTTCGTTGTTTCGAGGTCATTTGTGTTGTGAATACTAATGAGTAACATGAAACAATATCATCATACTTTTATAGATAATAATCAAACATATAATAAGTATTTGAACTGGAAATATGAATTATAATCTGCTATTTACCCCATCCAGAATGTTGACAAGACTGTCGACTTCTTCCTCGTTCTGCACAAGGTTGACTACATCGGTTCCAAGCACTCTATTCCAGTCTATTGCAACCATGATGTTTCTTTAGTATTTTCTATGCACCAATACAGTTAACTTAGTTCATTTTGATGTAGTTATAAGGAAATAAAAACTAATAAACACACTAAAAGTTTTGGCCAAACGCGGCTTCCCAATGCCGCCATTTTTGAAAATGGTATTTTGAATGGAATCGAGGCAGATGGACTTTTCTAAACGGCGTTTTGATTGGTTTATTGAAGAGGAACCAATAAAAATACCTGTAAGAAAAATTTGGGATATGTAGTATAAATAACTAGTGGATTTTGATTGGTTGTATTGTAAAACATTAACCAATCATCGTGCGAAATCTATATAAGTTAAAAGACAATATTTTTTGTTATTTTTGCTTCATCAAAATGGCGACCAGTCCGAGAACTCCAACTACACCAGCTACTCCTTCTTCTCCCACTGGAACACTTAAAAGAGACAATTCAAAAAAAGATGCCGGGGTTTTTGGATGGATGGGTACTCTATCTCGACGAAAGAAAGGCGAAACCGAAGGTAAATCAAGTTGCTTTGTCTTGAAGTGTCAATTCACGATCCTCTCTAAGTGATCAACTGTTTTCGTTGTCTCAACATCTGTTGATGACCTTGTGGCTATACAAGCTGTCAACTGTTTTCTTTTACAGTCTTTTGTCATGATAAATAGATAACAATATGGGATTTATTAATCTTTTATTTGATAGTTTTAATGATCGACGAGAAATCAGAGTGGACTGTCTTCAAATTCTTCAGGAAATTCCATTCTATTGTAGACATTCCTTACACACCCCTCTAGTCATAGGGGAGTGTTGATCGTGTGTGTTTAAGAAATTTTGTATTTTGATATAAAAGATTATTATCAGTTAATAATTACTTATTCAAGAGAAGTGCCCAAATTATAAGGAAAAATATATTAAACTCAAAGTGATAGTAGATTAAAGGAGCTGTAGTAGTTCGATGTTTATAAACATTGGTTTGTTATTGGATTAAATTGATTAATTAGTTGATTAAATTGACTGATGTTCTATATTTGATTGCTGTCTTTGTAGTAAATCAGTTAGAGAATGAAGGGAAATTTGCAATCGAGTCACCAACCACCCCAATTCACATGATCCCCCCTGATACATACGACATGGGTAAGTATCACTATGTCACAGTACAGTCAACTATCAGTATGATGGGTATAAATTTGCATTTTGGACAAATGCATCACAAATTCAAATTTAAATTTTTATTCTGTCAGAGGAAGGTGAAGTACGCTCAATGATAGAACCAGGATCACTTGAAGACCCTAAAGTCCATCAGCTCAAAGTGGTATGTACAATATTATAGAGTACCTGTAGTCATTTGAAATTATCTATTACAAGCTCTATAAGTCACACTTACCGTCCTATGATTATAACTCAAATATAACAATGGCAGGTCTACATATACAGTGATAGATCCGAGTCCCCTAATACACACACACATCAGCAAGTGCCTTAGGCTAAGGTCATTAGATTGAAGGTTGATAAACTTTTTGATGAGGATTTCCATGAAATATTACATTACTTAGATGTGGCATAAAATGACAAATTGTTTTAAGGTTCTTTTGGAGTGGTTAAATGAAGTATTGGCAGATAAAAGAATTGTTGTACGTGATGTCGAAGAAGATCTGTATGATGGTCTGATATTATCACATCTTATGGGTGAGTAAATGAATATAATAAATTATAATATCAGATAGGGATTTGTTCTTGCATTTATGTCCATGAGAAATGGCCGCATTCAAAAATGTGCATATTTAAATAGCAATGATCCATTTTTCTACAAATACCAGAATGGATTTCCTTTGGAATAAATAAAGGAGAATAGGGGACTGTGATTTTGTTATTAGATTCTCAGTTAGCTAACACAGGAATCCCAAGTGTAATCGCCATGATTGTTTTTTTTTTTGGCTACAGAGAAGTTAGCTGATATTGTGCTACAAGAATTTAAAGAAGTCAATCAAACAGTAGAGGTTCAGCAAGCAAAGTTGTCTGTTCTTCTCAACGAAATCAATAAAACAATAAGAGTTCCACAACACAGAGCCAAATGGACAACAGAAAGTAAGAAATGAGATTGTCATTGTATTATTATCCATTCACTCAATCATTCATCCATTCTATCAGTTGCCCATTCATTTATTTCAAAAGGTCAACCTACTTTCTTATTGATCATTCATTTATTGATCAATCTGTTTATATGTTGATATTTTCCAGAGGTCCATTCTAAGGATACAGTTGCAATTCTTCATTTACTTGTGTCGCTTGCAAAACACTACAACTGCAGACAAAAGCTGACACCTGATGTAAAGATAAATACAATGGTTGTACAGGTAAACATGCTGCATGTTGCATGTGGAATATTTGTTTGTTTCCTTTCTTTATTCATTTATTTGTAAGATGATAAGTATTTCCATTGTTTAAGTATTGTAATATTTTTATTTCAGAAAAAGAATGGGATGTTGATACCTCAAAGAGTAGTGGAAGAAATCACAGGACCAGATGCTGAGTAAGTTTTTGACATTATATTTTTATATTGGTTGTATTACAGGATTGCAAGAAGGAAAAAATATTGAAATGGGGAGGTATGGTAGGGTGGAGAAATGATCCAATCCCTGAGGCCAAATACCACTTGAATGCCTTCAGTAGCAACTAATTTTCATAACTTTCTCTTTTTTAGTATGATGGATGGTAAACCTGGTAAGTGCAAACAAAATTCTTGTTTGGTTCAAAGAAAATACTGACATTTTAATAACAATCCATGAATTCACAATTCATCAAATTGTTAGCATTAACTGTTGTTATTTCCTTATAGAAAGAGATGCCTTTGATGCGCTTTTTGACAATGCTCCAGAAAAACTGGGAGTAGTTAAAAAAGTAAGTCTGAAAGAAAACAATTAGGAACCTATTATATTTTGATTGTATGTGAAGACCAAGTCTTGATTCCATCAAATATTTTGCATAGTCTTTACAGGGATTCGTCAACAGACATCTGAACAAGTTGAATCTTGAGGTTACGAATATAGATACTCAGGTAATACTGAATGAATTGTATTTAGCGATAGATAGATGAATAAATGAAAGCAATCAATATATGAATATGCAGACATTCAACAAAAAGTATGAATAAATGAATGGATAAACAAATGATAAGTGAATAGACAAGTGGATAAATGCAAACAAATGTATGAATGAGTTTCATCATCCAAAATGGCAGAAGGCTCTCCATTATCTAATGACTGGTTACAAAAACCACACTCCATGATGCAGCTTGGCAATTCTTGAATAAATGAATGAATGAAAGAGTGCACTTTTAAWAACAGCTGTCTTTTCATTTTCCATTTTCAGTTCCATGATGGGGTCTATTTCATCTTTTTACTTGGTCTTTTAGAAGGATTTTTTGTTCCACTGTACCAATTTCATGTCACTCCAGCCAATGAAGACCAAAAGGTAATGCAGCTCTTCGCTAGTTAAAATCTCATCTATCAGTTAATTTCATTCCCATGTATTTTAGAGACAAAATGTTGAACTTGCTTTGGATTTGATGAGAGACAGTGGGCTAAAATTTCATGCAAAGACAGAAGGTTTGTATTAAGTCTTCTTGTTTGTTGTACTTACTTGATTACAAGTCAATGGCAAAATTGTGTGTTCTTAAACAACATTTCAATTTGATTCCAGATATCATGAAGAGAGATCTAAAGTCAACTTTAAGGATTGTGTACAGTTTATTTCAGAAGTACAAACATCTGAAGTAGACTACAATGCAGAATAGGCCTGACTGTACTATAAAATTAAGAAAGATACTTGATATGGATAGATGAAATCTAATATTTTTCATCCCATCAAAGAATTTCTCAGAAAAAAATGAATTGTAAAATAAAAGTTATTTTTGTATTTTCATCTTGAGGATTTCAGAT